GAGTGGCAGTAACCAGTCAACTGCAAATCCCTCAAGATGAGTGGAAATCAGGGAAGGTGTTCAGTTGTGAAGTGTTTGACAGGTCTCTGAACAAAAAACCCAATAAGAAAATCAGCTTCTGCTCAGGTAACAGAAACACAATCTGTAATGATAATTCAATAGATGTGGAGGTGATTGAGGTCTGTAAATAAGTCTTTTCCATTCCTTTAATATTTTTTTTCCAGTAACACCAGCATCTGCACAGATAGTCGGCGTCTATGTTCAGGGACCAACATTACAGCAGCTTCTAAACAAAGCGCAGGTGACTGTCACCTGTCTTTTGGTCGGCCCTTGTCTGAACGATTTCTCCATCACCTGGAAAGTAGGCGATAAAAATTTCTCCCAAAATGTCCGTACGGAGCCACCGGTGAGTCACAGCAATGGGACAGAGACTCGGCGGAGCTTCCTCAGTGTGTCGGCGGAGGACTGGCAGGATTATAAACGAGTTTCTTGTGAAGGAAAGCACCCATGTGCCAAACAGGGCTACGAAGACCACATCAGCAAAAGCAGTGGTAATGTTATAAATACAAGTTATTTAAGATGGAAAGCTTTCATCAGGAACTCACTTGTTCATCAACAATATTCTCCATAATGATTGTTTGACTAAATATGAACCTTCACGTATTGTTTTCTTCTTCGTCTGTTCCTCCAGTCGTGTTTCCGCCAACGGTGAAGATAGTTCAACCAACCGCATCTGAGCTGTCTATGTCTGATGTCCTCACGCTTGTTTGCCTGGTGTCTGGATTTTTCCCATCTAACATCATGGTGTACTGGGAAGAGGATGGCCAGAGACTCCCGTCGTCTCGTTACACCAACAGTCCTGCATGGAAACAGGCAGAGAGCAGCTCTTATTCAATGAGCAGCCGACTGAGTGTCCCCAGAAATGGGGACAAAGGGTCGTCATATTCTTGTTTTGTCAGACATGAGTCATCTGAGAAAACATTTGAAAGCACTATAGATGATGTGTTTGGTGAGTTGATTTGTCTTTTTTAAATTTTTTTTGCTCCTCTAAACAAATTCATAAAATTAACCCCCAAAAAACAACTTTTATGACTTTTTTTTCTGCAGCCTCGGTGACCTACAGCGAACCGTCGGCCTTTTTGCTCCAGGGCTCCAATGCACTCGTGTGCCTGGTGTTTGGCTTCAGCCCCGCGTCCATTAACATCACCTGGCTGCGTGACAATAACACGGAGCTTTGGAACTACAACACCAGCGATCCCCACAGAGGCCCAGATGGAAAGTTCAGTATCCGAAGCCACCTCCGTCTGTCCCAAGTCGACTCCTTACCCGGAGTGGTCCTCACCTGCAGGGTGACACATGCAAACACCATCCTGTCCCTCAATATAACTAAACCAGGTACCAGTGATTACTGCTTTTTTATTTTCATCTTTTAAATTCCTCTCTCAGTGCAACAAAGTCAGTGTAGTAATTGACTGATTGATCTAGTTTTCCTTCCTTTCTGTCACAGACACATTGGAGAGCTGCGACTTCTTAGATGACATCCTGCACGCTGATATTTATGACGGTACAGGTGTGGAAACCTGGTATATAGCTTTTACGTTCATCCTCTTTTTCCTCATCGCCATCATCTATGGTCTCATAGTGACCCTAATTAAGGTAAGATACAGCATGTTGCCGTTTAAAGTAACATTCTGGTCCGGTTTTCATATCACTTGTTTGGTTTTATTATATATCAACAGGTTAATATTTAGAATATTCTAAAATAACATCATCACTTTTTAAATCATACTTTTATGCATTTTTACTGAACACAAAACTGTCACATGATACTGACATATTCTCTCTTTTTTCCCCCTTTTAGACTAAATGATGACCACAAAAAAGATTCATGAACCTTCAAGGACTTTCTGCTGAGTTTTAAAGTATAATGACTTCTTTTTTTTTGTTGTTCTTTTGTATTTGCATTATTATGTTTTATGTAATAAGTTTATAATATCCATTTCTTTTAGGGGTGTAGTTGTGTATTTGGTGTGTCTGTAAGAGGAAACGGGAAAAAAAAAACATGCATTTAAAAAAAAAAAAGAATAAATATAAGAAATAAAAATTGAAATCTGTGTAATGAATGCATTTAGTATCACTGCACTGTTTCTCACTGTAAAGATAAAAAAAAATAAAATATGATAAAGTTCCCCTGGTTGATTGTGGTTTGTTTTAAGGTAACACAGTGTTTATTCTGTAGATCACACTTAACACTGCATTACTGTGGTTGTCCATAAGAGTGAGACAAAGCTCCATGTGCAGCAGCTTCCGTGCCACCTCCATGTGAAATACAGGCCATACAGTAATTTAAAGATGCTGACAGATCTGCTCTGGATTTACTACAGCTAACATGTGATACAGAGGTGCATTGACTTGACAGCACAGAAGACTGTTTCTGTAAATCGTCTGTTTTCCATACGTGCACATGCGAACACAGAGTTACTGTAAATCTGTGCACACTTTGTCTTTGAGTTGTGTGTTCGTGTCTGCATTTGTGTACATTGTGGGTTTACAGGAATTCACATCTGGGAGGGATGACACCGAGCACATCAAGGCTTGCTATTGGCTACCTCTGGAGTGATCTTGCACCGTGTGCGCCCTGATTGGCTGGGGACCCCATGGCAGCCGGCCCAAATCCGTGACGCTGTTGCTGGGATGGAGTCACAGCATGCTGCTGCCAGTCTAAGTGCCAAGGGGCCAGCAGTGGGGGAAGCGGGGCACCGTGCCCAGCAGGCTGCCTGAGAGCGTCTCCCTGTCTGACACCTTCATACCCTCCCATCCCCTCAGGCCAAGAGCCCTCCCTCCAGGTCCTTGATTGACCCCTTTTATGTGTCCACACAAACCAGAGATAACTTACAACCAAACATCCTGGTACCTGAACCAACAGGGCTCACTGTCCTGAGCAGGCCCCAGCGTTAAATGTGAAGGAGTCCAGTGCAGATAAAAAAGGACGCATGCTTAATCAGTACTCGGAAATGAAGATTGATCTTGTCCTAAAAAAAAAAAAAAAAAATCTTAGAGAAGCAGTTTGTTGAGCTTCCAGAGCTTCCTGTTTCTTTTAACATTCTAAAAAAGAAACAAGGTCAGCTGTGGGAATAGAGAAGAATAAGCACATTTTATAATAATTTATTCATTTAGGAACATTACAGTGTGTCAATGTAAGCAGAATGAAGTCATGTCCATCTGTATTTTTCTTTTAAACAACTACTTATAAGGAGTAAGAGGGATTATTTCTGAACATTCTAATCCACATGTATGTATGGTATGGATGTATTGTAGGATGGGTTTTCAATTAAACTACCAAATTGAAGAAATGAGGGGAAAAGCAAACCCTGACATAAACTTCATCGCTCCACCTCAATAAAAATCTCTTAATCTGAGTGTTTTACTGGTCCTTCTTATTGCTAAAGAAACAAACAGGATTAACAACAGTGAATCGAGCCTTAAAACACCACAGTGATAAGAAACCCCCCCCATCCAGAGGCCAAACACATGGTCCAACCATAACAGCTACATCATTCCAGAGACTGTCCTTAGAAAAGGTTATCTGAGGAAACAGCTCCCTGTGTTTCACTGTGACAGCGCCCTCTAGTGGCTGCGATTGTTAAAACAGAAGCAGAGCAGCAGGCAGAGGAGCAAAGTGAGGCGATGCCACAATGTCCACAAATGGAGGAGGTTGGGGTGGAGGGTTGGGGTCAACAAGTCACTGGATTTTCACACGAGACGATTTTCCATTTCAAAGCAACAGTCGGCATTGCTTTGAAAGGCAACTGTTTTATCACTTTAACCTCATCTTAACCCAGAGAGACTCAAGTACACTCCTATGAGTAAGTCCAGTAAGTTGGTATGCATCACGATCAAACCAGTGCTAAGAAATGTCAAGAAACGCAAAGGATGAAAGTGAAAAAGACACAAAAACACAACCTCAAAGCTACGACAAAGAAAATCTCAGGGGAAATTTTTGTCATGTGAAAAAAAAGGAGAGTGAGAGGCCGACAGAGAAAAATAAAAAATCACAATCCCGATTAAATACTTCAGAAATCGTGATCAAAATCAGCAAGAGCTTAAGTATAGACTCAATCATTTCCTGTAGTGGCCCNAACTGGCTACTGCTGTTTATTTATTTGTTTAGGTATTTATTTATTTGTTGTATACTGGCAAAAAATAAAATTAAACCAAAAAATAAAAATATTAAACTGAATGAATACTTTCAACAGCATCTTGTTGCTGTTACAAATACTTTCACCATTCTGAGCAACAATTGAAATATTCTCGACATCCACAAATATCAACACAATCTTTTTTTTATTTCACTCTAATTCTAAAAATGTCTAAAATGTCTGCTGTTAATGATAAATGTCGAGAGAAAAGAACACCCAAATAGGTGATTTAAAAAAACTAAAAAATCCTATTTGTAAAATAAAAGGTATCCCTGAGAGGTTTGCAATCAACTCTGCAGAATAACTTCACATTTGGGGCTACTGTAGTGAACTAAATAATATTTTGCAGGTAGTGCTGTTACAATATTATCCTAATATTAGTTTCTAATAAGTTCAATTGATTTATCAGATCAGTACTGCACACCAGCTGCTTGTAACGTATTGATTGCGTCATTTGTTGATGCAGTTATTTTTTAATTTATCTTTAATAAAACATTGATCAATTGTGACAAAGCAGTGTTTTACTGTAATGTGAACACACTGATCAGAAACTAAAATTTGAAATCCACATTTAAGTGGTGACAAACTGCAGTATAGTTTAGAATTTTTCATTTTAATATGTTTAATATTGCTTTATTTCTTGTTCTTCTTTTTAGGTGAAATGAAACAAGGAGAATATGAGGGAAACTTTCTGTAAAAAAAACAACAAAAAAAGTATTTTTCACACATTTTTCTTATATACTCGTAGTGCCATGTAAGTAATCACGTATGTTTTTTTTTTCTCATTTTAATCTCAGAAGCTTGATGTCTTTTTGAAAATAAACGTTTAAATGAAGACAACGCTGAAGTTGCTCCTTCAACTTTTTTCTGTCTTGCATTATTTTGAAACTGTGCATCCTGTCTGCAGTTGAAAGTTTAATAGAGAATTCTCACAAATGTATTCTTGATTTTATTTAACGTTTTGTCCTCATTGCTGTATAACGTGCTGTTATGTTCATCACACTCCCCCCAGCACCTGGAGTCAACGGCCCGTGTTCAGCTCAATATGTAAATGGGGGAGATTTTACAGTCGGTTGCTTTCTGAGTCTATTATTACCAGACTTGAGAACTAAAACCTTTGGCAAAGTCATGAGAAGTCATGTGATAACGTATGTAAACTGATACCAGATATTTAAATGTGCACTCTGTTTCTCTTACTGACCTAACCGCACCTCACACCTGGTGTCTGTGATGCTCCGTTGCTCTTTGCGTTGTTTCACTTCTGTATCTTGGTACTTTTTTGGGGACCTGGGTGTTACTCAACGCTTCCGCTTGCTGCTAGTCCTCATCGCTCTGCCCTGTCATGCTCGACATCTGTGCAACAGACTTCTTAGCCACATCTCCACCTGACTGTGCAACTCTGCAGCACAAACAACTGTACAACTCTGCCATCTAGCCGTCACACAAACACACTGCACTTAGAGTTGAGACTAAATGGTTGGTTACTGAACACATTCTGAAGGTACGTATAACTGAGATCAAAACTGCTTGTTTTCATGTTCACATCTAACATCTAGAAAGACAAAGTAATCTCTGCTCTATCTCAGGTCCGCGGGTTGTCCCTCCAAACATCACGCTGCACCCTGTTTGGGACGGTGAAGTCGAGAACTCTCGAGTCAGACTCATCTGCACCCTAAGTGGCTTCTTTCCAGACCAACTGAGCGTGGACTGGCAACGGGACAACCAACATACCGTCATTGCACAAGTCTCAAGGAAGCTGCAGAGCACGGGGACAGACGAAAAAACCTTCACTTATAGCAGTGAGATTGAGCCAGATGTTACAGAATGGGCGACAGGCTCAAATTTTATATGCAAGTCCATTCACGAAGGCAGCGAATATCGCAAAACCATAAACATTTGTCAAAGTACGTATGCACGGCTTCTATCTCACAGAGCATTGGAGTTAAATACTTCAAAATTAAAATGACATTTTTTATTGAGTAGACTGGCTCAGATTAACCTGTATGGAATAACATCTTCCTGCAGCCCATTCAAGAGCCCCTCCTTCCATTCATGTGGAGACTCCCAGCTTCAGGACTGTAATGACGACATCTGAGGTGACCGCAACATGTTTG